CTTATAAGCCCCCTTTAAGTACTGGAAGGCTGCAATAAGGTCTCCCAGCAGCCTTCTCTTCTCCAGGCTGAACAGCCCCAACTCAGCCTGTCCTCACAGGAGAGGTGCTCCAGCCCTCGGATCATCTTCGTGGCCCTCCTCTGGGCCCCTGCCAACAGGTCCATGTCCTTACTGTGCTAGAGGGCTCCACAGCTGGATGCAGGACTCCAGGTGGGGTCTCAGCAGAGGTGAGCAGAGTGGCAGAATCCCCTCCCCCAACCTGCTGGCCACCCTTCTCTTTGATGCAGCCCATGATACGGTTGACCTTCTGGGCTGTGACCGTACATTGGTGGCTCATGTTCAGCTTTTCATCCACCAGTACCTCCAAGTCCTTGGCAGGGCTGCTCTCAATCCCTTCATCCCCCAGCCTGTATCGACACTGGGGGTTGCCCCAACATCAATACAGGCTGGGGGATGAAGAGACTGACTTAAGTGACAGGAGGCAATGGCAACAAGATCCTGCCTGGCGCAGCAGGCATGTCTCCTCTGTGACTGTCCCACCCTCCCAGGTGCCCTCGCAGAACAGGTACAAGGCTCTGCAGGTGGAACCAAACAACAACGAGGACGATGCTTCATGTAGCTTGAAGGTGTCTCCAAGGTTACGTCAGGCTAAGCCCTGTGTCAAAACTGCTTCCATAAAGAAAAAAATATGGGTCACTGTCATAGGAGACTCTCTCCTGAGGGGAAGAGAAGGCCCAATATACACTCCGGACCTACTTCCTAGGGAAGTCTGCTGGCTCGCTGGGGCCCAGGTTGAAGATGTGAAGAGAAAGCTTCCTACCCTGGTATGGCCGTCCGATTTTTATCTATTATTGATTTTTTATGTAGGGAGCGATGAAGTTGCAATAAGAAGTCCAAGGGTGGTCAAGACAAACTTCAGGGCCTTGGGACAACTGATTAAGGGATCAGGAGCACAAGTACCCTTCTCCTCTGTCCTTTCAGTTGCAGAGAACGATGAGGGAAGAAACAGGAAGGCCAGCAGATCAATACCTGCCTCTGAGCGTGGCGTCACTGGCAGAATTTTGGGGTTTTTGATCATGAGTCAGGTCTACACAACACCAAGACTGCTGCAACAGACAGGGTACACTTGTCTCAAAGGGGGAAAAGGATCTTCACATGGAAGTTAGCAGGGCTCATCGAAAGAGCTTTAAAGTAGATTTGAAGGGGGAAAGGGAGAAAACCAGGCTCGCTGGAGATAAGCCTGAGGGTGGCACACCAATACTTGAGGAATGGTGTGCTAGCGAGGTCCTTCAGTCTGCTTCACACTATGTTGTGTACACTGAAGGACATTTGAAATGTCTCCATACCAATGTGTGCAGCATGAGGAATAAGCAAGAGGAGCTATAGAACTTTGGCCCAGTCCCAGAGATATAACATCATTGGTGTAAGCAAAAGCTGGTGGGCTGAGTCCTGTGAGTGGTGTGCTGTGATGGACGGTGACGGGCTCGTGAGGGACAGGCAGGGCAGGCGAGACGTGGGTGGCGCTGAATGTAAGGAAAGGGTTGGACTGTATGGCAAATGCAGTTGCAGATGACACGGTTGAGAGCCTCTGGGTAAGGATGAAGGGGAAAGCAAATGAAGTGGGTGTTCTTGTGGGAGTCTTCTATCAACCAGCCAGCCAGGATGAAGACACCAATGAACTGTTCTACAAGGAATTAAGGGATACCTCTGTTGCCCCTGTACTCAGCACTGGTGAGGACGCACCTAGAGTACTGTGTTCAGTTTTGGGCCCCTCACTACAAGAAAGACCTTGAGGTGCTGGAGCATGTCCAGAGAAGGGCAACAAGGCTGGTGAGGGGTCTAGAGAACAAGTCTTATGAGGAGTGGCTGAGGGAGCTGGGGTTGTTTAGCCTGAAGAAGAGGAGGCTGAGGGGGGAACTTATCGCTCTCTACAACTACGTGAAAGGAGGTTGTAGTGAGGTGGGTGTTGGTCTCTTCTCCCAAGTAACAGGCGATAGGATGAAAGGCAATGGCCGCAAGTTGCATCAGGGGAGGTTTAGATTAGATATTAGGAAAAATGTCTTTACGAAAAGATGGTCAGACATTGGAATAGGCTGCCCAGGGAGGTGGTAGAGTCACCATCCCTGGAGGTGTTCAAGAAACGTGTACATGTGGCACTTCAGGATATGGTTTAGTAGGCATGATGGTGCTGGGTTGACAGCTGGACTTGATGATCTCAGACATCTTTTCCAATCTATGATTCTATGATACAAGCTGCCCTGGTCGTTATGGGTGATTACAATTTCCCAGACATCAACGGAGAATATCATCTAGCAGACACAAACAGGTCCGGGACATTTCTGAAGCACGTTGAAGAGCACTTCTTGGTGCAGGTACTAAGGGAGCTGACTAGAAAAGGTGCCCTCCTAGATTTGTAGTTTGTAAACAGAGAGGGACTCCTGGGCAAAGTGGTGATTGGCGGCTGTCTTGGTCACAGTGACCATGAAGTAGTTGAGTTTCAAATCGTTTGCAATAGGAAAAAAACCGCCAGCAAAACTTCGACCCTGGATATGGGCAGAGCAGACTTCAGGCTGCTGAAAGGAGGTAGTTAGTGAGGTCCCCTCGGAATCTGCTTCTGAAGGCTCTGGGGTCCACGAACGCCAATTGCTTTTGAAGAGCGTGGGAGCAGGCAATTTCGAAGTGTCAGCAGTCAAGCAAGCTGGGCAGAAGGCCAACTTGGCTGAGCAGGGATCTTCTAAAACGTAGGTGGAGAAGGAAAGTGTATGGGCATTGGAAGCAAGGACAAGCGACACGGGAGGACCGTAGAGATGCTGTTCACCACTGCAGGAGAAAATTCGCATGGCCAAAGCTTGATTAGAGTTCAAGCTGGCCAGCACTGCAAAGGACAACAAAAAGGGCTTTTTTCTGTTAACATATATTTAAAAAGAGGACCAGCAATAATTTTGGTCTGTTGCTTGATGAGGTCAGTCACCTCACAAGTAGGGATGTAGACAAAGCAGAGACATTTAATGCCTTCTTAGCGTCTGTCTTCAACACCGGTGATGGGTCCTGGGATCCCCAGAGCCCTCTGTTGGAAGACCATGACTGGGGGAATGATAAACTCCTGGCCAACCTTTAACTTTTTCGAGACTTACTGCTCCAGCTGGATGCGCATAAGTCTCTGGGGCCTGATGGGATTCATCCCAGGATATGGAAAGAGCTGGCCAATGTCATCATGGGACCTCTCTCCATTATTTTTCAATGGTTCTGGGGGTCTGGAGAGGTCCCAGCTGACTGGAAGTTGGCAAGTGCTGTCCCAATTTTCAAGCAGGGTAAGCAGGAAGACCCTGGTAATTATAAGCCTGTCAGTCTCACTTCAGTGCCTGGTAAAATTATGGAGGTTATTCTGGGAGTTACTGAAAAACACTTGAGAAGGCAGTCATTGGTCACAGCCAGTGAGGGTTCATGAGGGGAAAGTCCTGCTTAACCAACTTCATTTCTTGTTATGACAAGGTCACCCCTCTAGTTACCCAAGGGAAGTCAGCAGATATGGTGGGTTTGGATTTTAGCAAAGCTTTTGATACTGTCTCCCACAGGATACCTTCGGACCAAATCTACAGGACCAGCGATAACACGTTGGGTGAGCAACTGGCTGACAGGTCAGGCTCAAAGAGTTACAGTAAATGGGGTTACATCAGGCTGGAGGTCAGTCACCAGTGGGGCTCCCCAGGGCTCAATCTTAGGGCCAGTGCTCTTCAATGTTTTTATGAATGATCTGGACACAGGAATCGAATGTACATTAAGTTTGCCTGTGATACTAAACTAGGAGGAGCTGTGGACTCCCTTGAGGGTAGAGAGGCCTTACAGAGAGATCTGGGCAGACTAGAGCGCTGCACAATTACCAACTATATGAAATTTAACAAGCGCAAGTAATGGATTCTCCGCCTGGGACAGGGTAATCCTGGTCATACATACAGACTGATAGATGAAAGGCTGGAGAGCAGCCTCACGGAAAGAGATCTGGGGGGCTGGGTGGATGGCAAGTTGATTATGAATCAACAGTGTGCCCTGGTAGCAGAAAGGGCCAACCACGTCCTGGGGTGCATCAAGCACAGCATAGCCAGATGGTTGAAGCAGGTGACTGTCACAATCTACACTGCACTGGTGCAGCCCACCTTGAGTACTGTGTGCAGTTCTGGGTGCCTCAGTATAAGAAGGACATCAGTCTACTAGAGTGTGTCCAAGAGGAGGGCGACCAAGATCATGAAAAGCCTTGAGGGCAAGACTTAGGAGGAGCAGGTGAGGTCACTTGGCTTGTTCAGCTTGGAGAAGGCTGAGGTCATTGCAGTCTATGCCTTCCTCAAGGGGGACAGCGGAGGGGGAGGTGCTGATCTCCCCTCTCTGGTGACCAGCAACAGGACACGAGGAAATGGAATGAAGTTGCTTCGGGGCAAGTTCAGGCTGGACGTCAGGAAAAGGCTCTTCACTGATACAGTGGTCGGCCACTAGAACAGGCTCCCCAGGGAAGCAGTCACAGTATCAAGCCTATCAAAGTTCAAGGACCGTCAGGACGACACTCTTAGTTTTATGGTTTAGTGTTAGGCAGTCCTGCAAGGAGCAGGGAGTTGGACTCAATGATCCTGATGGATCCCCTCCAACTTGAGATACTCTATTCTATTGCTGTGCAATAGTATCAATGTAACTTTGATCGAAAGAAGCTTTACTTCAAAATGTTGGGTTGTAGGGTTTTGGGATTTTTTTGGGGGGAAGGGGTGTTAATATTTTAACTTGGGAGTTTTACTGTAATGGTGAGAACTAATCTACTACATATTTGCTACTGCTCTAGAAAGCATCAGGGCTTAAGCAAAGGTACAGATTAATGAAGAACATTTAAGTTACATTTCCCCTTGTTCTTTAAGTAAAGGAATACACATCATAAATGCACAGCAATATACATCACTACCACAAAGAAAAAATCTGAAAAAAGGGGAGAGGCTATTTTAATGAAATAATTTACAGAAATTGTTGCTCTTATTTTCAGTACTGTGCTTAAAAGTACTTCAGTCACAGTAGCACAACTGACCATTAGGTGTCATTGTTGCCACTACGGTTAACATTGGCTTCTACAAATTTTCAAGTAGTATACCTACTAAAATATGTTACTGTATGTAATTGGTTGCATTATGATTTTCATAAAAGGACTAATATTAGTTCTGTACCACAGGTACAGAACGATGTCTATATTTCATGGGCCATATAACAATATAACCAACGAATTTATTGTCCACCAACATTTTTAACTTTCATTGAGCTTCTTGGCTATCCGCTCAGTTAACAAATAAAAAAACCGTCTTTCAGCAGTCAAACCCGTAAAGTGAGCCTTAGATTTTGAAGCAAGTACAATTAGAGATACCACATTTGCCATTACTCCTTCTTGATTCAAGATGTTTTAGTATCACCTCATTGAGGAAGGGGGAGAAGGGGAGGAGTCTTAAGTGAGTCCATGTTACTGTCATTACTCACCAATTGTTTGAATAATAGCATTCTGGACAATCCTCTCATCGCTCTCCTTGGAGCTTGTGCTGAATGTGGCACTTCCGGCTGAGCTGCGCCTATCCCCCAGCTCAAAGTCAACACTGATGCGCAAGTGCTTCAACAAGGTATTAAAAACCTCCAGAACTGTTGGGCCTGGAAACAACAGGTAACAATGATTGCATCTGCAAAGGGAAAGATGCCTTAAGAAAATGAAAGCTTATATTTTCAGGCCCTGTTTTCCAGCAAGCGTCTAAACATCTGCCTGTCAATGGGAAGGTACTGAATAAATTCCTTTGTCTTCCCTGTGAACACAGCTTTTGCTTCACCCATTAAACTGTCATTTTCTTGATCCATGACACTTTTCAGCTTCTTTCCACCTTCTCCCTGTCCTGTGGGAAAGGGGAGTGAGCAAATGGCTGTTGGCCAGAGTCAACACACCACTCAAGTTTTACATGGGAAACACAAGTAGTTGCTGAAAATAAGTATTGACGATGGGTTAAAGCACAGGTACTTGCACCTGAATTTCAGTTATTTCAAAACCTGCTAAAAAATCCAGTTCTATATATGGGAAAAATAATGAGCTCTTTTCATAACATGGTAAAAGACTTCACAAGTCTGTGAATGCAAGTGAGCCTTGCATAAAGAGAAAGGACAGGCTGAGCTTCAAGCTAATGAAGCAAAGTAGTAATGTTTCAATCAGCAGGACACCAAAGAAAAACAACAGCAGACGATGTTTGTGTACACATCTTCATAACTACTCTTATATCAAGGAACTATGCTACCTTAAATGACATAATACACCTTATTTCAGCTTCTTCACAGTTACTAAGGCAAAATTTCTCAAAGATCATTCTACTTTTGACTCCCATACTACCACTGATTTCACAGCAGCTGTATGACAAAGCAACAGTCCTCTTGACTTTTTGTAGCCACAGAGTTCTCTCAGATTTCGTGACTTCTTATCAAACAGAAATTCTTTCCTTTCACAAGGCTATAAATATACATATACTCATTTTTTCAATGTAAAGAATTATCAAACAAACAACCAAGTAAGTACATTTGAGTAATTGTAAACCGAGTACGCTTTCAAGCATTTTATTAGCACAAAGGAGAAAAAAAACCAAACTACAAAACCTTCTCAAAATATACGCTTTCATTCTGTCTGAAAACAAAGTAAAAATGAGCACCACCCTGAAAATCTATCCTTTGACCCGATGCCTTTAATTTAAGAAGACTTACCAATTGACCCTTTAGCTGCTATTGCAACTGCTTCCAAAAGAACCTGAATAATGCCAGCACGAACTCGTGGTGAGTCCCTTTTGCGAGCATCAAGGTGTCCAAGGATTTCTTGTATTACATGATGCGAATACTGTGCCTATTAAAAACCAAACAAACAGAAAAAAGCTTCATCTGTGACTTTAATGAGAATAAATGCCTATGCCATTCAGCTACAGTCATGACAATGTTCCTATTCTGTAACATTCTTACTCACAAATTTATCTAAATTTCCATCAATTTACGATTAAATATAGATTAAAAAAACTACCATGACAGATGAAGCTACATTGGTCCATCCAGCTCAGTACAGAAAAGCTTACAGTATTAAATATCCAGGAACATCTACAAGAACAGAGGAAGCGTGAAGTGGTACTTCACTCAGCCAACTGCACTTCAAGGACTTCAGCTGGTCTTACAAAAAAGTGTCATTGTTGCAAACGCTGATAACACACTGCTTTCTTCCACAAACCTGGAATTATATGACTTTATCTTTTGGGTGGCTGTGCTTGACGCAATCCGAGAATCAGACTTTGATCATGTTTACAACAGACAATAGAGGTTGCCCAACAGTAAAAATCAATTAGCACAACACAGTTGGTTGTGAAGTTGGTTTCTCAGGCTGTCAAAGCAGTACAGCTGTATTGGCATGAAGACATGAGCATTAAGAGAGATTTATTTATCAAACACAATGTCAGATCAGGATGGCTATCCTGCTCCTTGTTCTGGAGTTTGCTGTGGGACCTCTGTACTACCTTCCATCAAGAATTCTTTTTTTCTTCTGCAACTGTACATTAATCGAAAGCAAACCAGGTAACACCTGATCACAAACCATGATTAGGTTATTCTTTGAGAAGTTTAAAGAATAAGGCTAGGGACTTACAGGAAGGGATTCTTCTGCCTTCTTTGACTTCATCTACCGTCCATCATTATCATGGTGAGTTGAGCATTTAAACCTGTCTCATGCACTCAAAACATTTATGCAAGGAAAACAAATCCTGGAGATAATCCTACCTGTATAGAATACATGATGATTTTGAAACAGGAAACAGCAAATTCGTTGGGATCCCATAGTCTATGATGGTCTAAATGCCTGTAAACAAAAATTAAGGTATCTGAAATAAGGACATTCCACAGATACAATAAATTACACCTTACAGTTTTCTCAAAATTCACCTCAAAGGGATCATTTCCTTACATAAATCTTCTAAACTATGCCTTATTACCTAGATCAGAAAACTAGAACTTCAGAAAAACATTTGTTTTCAAGGTTTAGGATGTGGTCACAAAACATTTGTCTGTAACAGAAATTCCTGATCTTTTAGTTTCAGGAAGTTAAGGAATCTAGTCATACCAAAGATATGCAGTGAAGAATATACTGTTTCCACACAAAGTGCATGCATAAAAACAGCTGTGACATTATACACTTACTTAAATGAAAGAGATACACTGAAGATGATGGTTATAATACCCTGACAGAGTTTTAGTCTAAATAAGATACAGAAATTGTTTTGAATCAGGAGCCACAAAACAACTAAGGTTGAATGTCACATCCAGAACAGAGAGTCTAAGAACTATTCTCATTTTCATAGTGCTTTCATTAATAATATATATGGAAAACAAAAAAGAGCTACTCTTTGTGTATATAGTCTATCACTCTGAAGCTTATCAACACTTTCTGCAAGAAATATCAAAACAGAATCAGAACGATAAATGCTTCAGTTTCTCTTTAGATGGGATAGGAACCACCAATAAAAAACTCTGTCAGAGTTTCAAGCAAAGACAAGAAATTTTGCTTAAGTACTATGCTGAAAGCTATGAATATGTCACGCATCAAATTTTCCAAAAAGGAGATCTGAGTACCTAGAAAAGCACGACAAAAATAACTACATTTTTAAATCCAGAAGATTGAAAAAATTAATTCGGGATGTCTTCTAATTGGAATGATTTAAGTTTAAAAAAAAAGCATAAAAGAAACCCACAAAAAACTTTTCTATAGAAACTGAATTTAGGTAGTGTTCTAAATAGACATCTCAGCTACAGACTCACTATTAGTCTGCCCTTTCCCAAATAACATAATAAACATATAAAGATACTTCAAATAACAAGCGTGAAAGCATACAGGTGAAAGAAGTCCAACCAGTACTCTGAAGACAGGAGGACTGTGGATGCTTTAACTCACTTTGACTAGAATTTGGGGGTCTCAAGTAACTTACCGGCCAGCTGCTACCATCTAGTGACCCAGCTGAGTACACAGGTCTCCTTCAAGGCTGATTAAACCAGCGGGCATAATTTACCCTCTCCTGTGCCCGAAATAATCTTGCAGCCCATGGCAGAGCTAAAAAAAACATACTGCCATTTTGACACATTACATACCTTTAATAAAAATCCCTACAGTAAAGAATTTCAGGAATTTTAAAGGTGTTTGTCTGCCTTGATAACAGCATATTTGCATGACAAAATATTAGACTGGACTATGTGTTGGGGATAGCTGCCTTTCTTCTGCACATTCCAAACACAGGTATATTTAATCCTGCCTTGGGGTAGAAAGTCAAACAAAATTACCTCTTTAAATCCTTCAAGGCTTAGCAGCTCATAATATATTTATTCATGTCTTCTTTCTCCCTAGTATGATTCCGGTATAGTCCATCATTTCTTGTACATGATAGCTTCTTTTAGCTAACCTATTTTCTTTTTATCTCATCAAATACAAAATCATACTCTTCGCTATTTTCTCCTGATTGGAACTGATCCCTTAATCTTTCCAGGGAGCATGCATTCTCTGTTACCCTTGGCATTTCCTCTTCATCTGCCCCAAAGATCCATTCACGCAGATTATGGCCAACTACATCTTATATAATTTTTTTTAAAAACCCTTCCTCTCAAAACAAGACATACAGTTTCTTTTTCCAGAAAGGCAAAGTATTTGCTGCTTCGGGTAGCTGAGCTGATGGGAAGACAGCAGGGGGAAGATGACAGCCCAGGTTAATGTTTTGTGTAATAGCTTGATGAGCAGCATACTTTGTATAATGGAATTTTCCTCCTAAGAAAAGAAGTATTAGATTGCTGCAGCTGACATATTTCACTCATCATCATGCAGGCAGGGTATTCAGTGTAGGTTTGTTTTTGTAAAAGACAGTAAACAGTATTTTCAGAGTAGTGCATTTAGTTCAGTTAAAATCAAGTCACATTTTGTTTATTTTTTTTCTTCCCCAATCACAGCTCTTTTAGTAAAGAATATCTAAGCAATAATGTGTCATAAGTCAAGTATGGCAGAAGATCAGCTTGGCTGAACAGGGAACTCCTCGTGGAGCTCAGGAGGAAAAAGAAACTGTACGATCTCTGAAAGCAATGTTAGGCTTCACAGGAAGAGTGCAGAGCTGTGGTTTGTTTATGCAAGGCGAAAACGTGAAAGGCCAAAGCTCAGTTAGAGCTGAAACTGGCCAGTGTTGTTTCAGATAACAAGGGCTTTTTTAAGTATGTTAACAGCAAGGGGAGGTCTAAAGAAAACACTGAACTTGTTGGAGATGGTCATCTGACTAGTAGGGATGAAGAAAAAGCAGAGGCATTCAACGCGTTTTTTGCCTCAGTCTTTAATAACACTGACAGACCTTGGGCCGCCCAGCCCCCTGAGCCGGAGGACCACGAGTGTGGCAACAGTGGCTTTCCATTTCTGGACACTGAAACTGTAAGGGACCAGCTGTATCAGCTGAGCGTTCACAAGTCCACACGGCCTGATGGGATTCACCCCAGAGTACTGAGGGAGTTAGCAGATGTAAGCAGATGTTATGTCAGGACCCCTCTCAATCATCTACCAAAGGTCCTGGGAGCCTGAGGAGGTCCCTGCTGACTGGAAGCTAGCCAGCATTATTCCAATTTACAAGCAGGGTGACAGGGAAGACCCAGGGTACTACAGACCTGTTAGTCTGACCTGAGTACCTAGAAAAACTACGGCAACGATTACACTGGGTGCTGCTGAAAGGTGTTTAAAGAATAATGCAATCATGAGGCACAGTCAACGTGGGTTCATGAAAGGAAAGTTCTGTCTAACTAATTTAATACCATTCTATGATGCTGTCACCCACCTAGCGAATGAAGGGAAGGCGGTGGATGCAGTTTTTCAGGATTTTAGTAAGGCTTTTGATACTGTCCCTCACAGCATCCTTCCGGACAAGCTGCCCAGCTGTCAGATGAGCAGGTTTCCAGTGCGCTGAGTGAAGACCTGGCTCAAGGGCAGAGTTCAAAGGGTTGTACTGAACGGGGCTACATCTGGCTGGCAACCAGTCACCAGCAATGCTCCTCAGGGCTCAATTCTAGGGCCAGTTCTGTTCAACTTATTTCTCAACAATCTGGATGCAGGTGTTGAACACACCATTAGTAAGTTTGCTGATGATACCAAACTGGGAGGTACTCTTGACGCTCTTGAGGGACAGGAGGCCTTGCACAGGGATCTAAATAGACTGGAGCACTGGCCTATGAGTAATGGGATGAAAATCAACAAGCCAAAATGCCAGATTCTACATCTAGGATAGAGTAACACCAGGCACAAGTAAAGACTGGGAGAGGAGCAGCTGGAAAGCAGCCCTGCAGAAAGGGATCTGGGGCTGCTGGTCAGCAGCAGGGTCCAGCAGGAGCCAGCGGTGTGCCCTGGCAGCCCGGAGGGCAAACCGCAACCCAGGGTGCATCAAACACAGCATGATCAGCCACTCGAAAGAGGTGATCAATGTCCCAAGCCTGTCAGTGTCTGAGAGGCATTTGGACAATGCCCTTCACAACACGCTTTAACTTTCGGTCAGAGCTGCAGCGGCCAGGCAGATGGACTGGATGATGGCTGTAGGTTCCTTCCAGCTAAAATTGTCTATTCTACTCTAAAACATTTTATCACTGGATTAACAACTACCAAACTTTGCCTTCCATGAAGACCTGCTGCGTATATGGAGGAAATGTGCACAATTAGGTTTCTCAAATTAAAAGCAAGAGCAGAACCACTAGTGCAAAGTACTACTGTTTGGATTGAGAGCCACTAATGGTCACTGAATTCACTCACATTGTCACACATCCAAGCAATCCTTCGAGTAGAGAATGATAAATTGATACCGAGGATTAGAAAGCATAACTGAAGCATGTGAAGGAATATAAATTAAAAAAAATTAATCTTCTCATGTATCATGTCTGCTGAAAGAATATTAAACACCCATCTTCTGATATTCAAAACCCTTGCACAGATGATGTGATAACTCACAAGAATGGAAATACAGTGAGACAAAATGGGTTCAACTTGTTACAACTGGGAAGTTGTTTATATTCACTATATTACTGTATCCCTCTGGATCTGCCTAATCTATTCACCACTGCAAATTCATGCTAAATAAGTCTAAGTAGCTTGTGACTGTTGACACAAAATACACATTTTTTTATACCACATTAATCTAAAATTTTTTACTTTCATTAAGCAGTTTATCAGATTGATCTGTCAGATTACATTAAAAATGAGAATTTGAGAGTTTCTAGCTACTAAGCACAGACACTTATAACCATTGAGATTTTCTGCCAAAGGCAAGGAGAATTAAGGTCAATGCAAACCCGTACCAGGAGACTGACTTGAGATTTCAGCTATCTTCAGTATATTTAAATCCCTCAATCTTTGAATGTACTCAGCCTCATGATGCAAGGAGTACTGTTCTCTCAGTTTTGCAAGGAAGTGGTAGCATGTTGACTAATATTCTAATGGCACATGAAGCAAGCCTTCAAGGTGGGAACTAAACCTGCACCTTCAGTGTTAGCACTGTAACAAGTGGCCTTCTCTTTACTTCCAGAGCTTTCTTAAAAGCTGTGAAACCGTTGAAAACTGTTAGGAGAAACTGTTTTCTAATCAAATATACATAAACTAAGTCAGGTTTTTCACTCAGATAGTGAGTCCATTGCACTTTATCTCAAACATTCTTTCTACCAGTTCTGCTCATTCACAAAGTGAGGCTGATTAGATAGAGCACCCCCCTTTAGTTTAGGAAAAGCAGCTTGGAAATCGCATTTTCCACATCTCTTGTTCTTCAAAAATACTAAACTTTTACAGCATTTCTTTACAAAAAGAAAGGAAAAAAACCCCAGAAACCCAGTCTTCCACTAGACCAGGTTGCTCAGAGCTCCATCCAACATGGCCTTTAGATTAGACATAAGGAAGAAATTCTTTACTGTGAGAGTGGTGAGGCACTGGCACAGGTTGCCCAGAGAAGCTGTGGATGTCCCCTCCCTGGAAGTGTTCAAGGCCAGGCTGGATGGGGCTTTGAGCAACCTGGTCTGGTGGAAGGTTGGGTAAACCATGGCATGGTGAACCCCCATGGCAGGGGGATTGGAACTAGATGTTCTTTAAGGACCCTTCCAACCCAAACCATTGTGTGATTGTATGAATTGGGAATTATTTGTGGAAAACTTCCCTGATACTGAAATGACTGAAAAGACTGAAATAACTCCACATGCTGATAAAGTTTCAAGACAAACCCTAAAATGAACTATAAAGTGGTAAGAATGCAACTGCAATACAGTTCAAAATAGTCCATCCACACTGTTTAGTACTTAAAACGTTCACTGTAGTCGCAGGTATTTTGAAGGAGTGCACATCGTAAATGTAGGAAAGTATGAAACTTTTTTAATAAAACATTCAGCTTTGCAACAGTTAAACTCCTATCAGACTGGTATAATAGGGACACTTGGAAAGCAAGATACTAACACAGTTCTTCGCATTTAATGCTTCTGGGTGAAAAACAAGGGGTCACAAAAGTTTTCTGCCCTCAGTATCTACCCTATCATCTTTTTGCATTTCTGTTCTTACTTAACAGTAGTAACTTGAAAATCACTTTCAGTAGCTTTAAAGTCTTTCAGTGTATGATTGCAATATTTCGTCTTTGTGGGAATAACTACGCCATCTAACAGAAGACATTCCCCTAAGAGGGGACCTTTTAAATGCTTGTAAATATCTCAAGGGTGGGTGTCAGGAGGATGGGGCCAAACTCTTCTCAGTGGAGCCCAGCGACAGGACAAGGGACAACGGGCACAAACTGAAGCACAGGAAGTTCCAGCTCAACATGAGGAAGAGCTTCTTCCCTCTGAGGGTGACGGAGCACTGGAACAGGCTGCCCAGGGAGGTTGTGGATTCTCCTTCTCTGGAGATATTCAAGACCCGCCTGGACAAGGTCTGTAGGTGACCCTGCTTCGGCAGGAGGGTTGGACTAGATGACCCACAGAGGTCCCTTCCAACCCCTAACATTCTGTGATTCTGTGATAGTTAATACATCAGTTATAATTCGTACTGTGTGCATTTGTGCATATTGTGTCTATTATTTGGACATCTGCCATTCACTACTAAACAAGCTGTTAAAGTTATTCCTCACAGAATATCAAAACAGGTCTTGGAAGAAAACAGAAATCTTTATGTATTAATCTGGTCACAGTATTCCTCTGTGCTTCTTGTATTTTACTTGGCTTGTTTCTTCACTGACTGCAACAGTCATCTGTGGGACATCAGTATCTTGAATAAACAGTTTCACATCCAAAAGAAAGGCCAGCTGAGGCAACAATCCATCAAAATCATTACACTGCACTTCTAAAATCAGTAAAATGGGAGACACATTTCTCCACAATTATCTTCAAGTCAATAGATAGGCAACAAAAAGGGAAGATTAAGAGGGGCAATTTCTTGAAGAAACATGAGAAACTGTTAGTAGAATCCTTTGGGTTGAAAAGGAAGGAGGAATTTCATGCAACATAATTAAAGGATTAAATAAAAAAAAAAAAATCTATTAAGACCTTCCATGAATTTTCAACTTACGCAAAAACTGGTCTAACAGCATTATTCATATTTCCATAGGTTGCTCGTCCCAGTAGTTCCCTGAAACAATTCTCAGCCAGCAGAGCAGGATTCTCCTCTTTCTCTCCTCCTGTAGGAGAGGATGGAGGGCCTATTCGGCTGAAAAAAGACAAAAGTACATTGATTTTACTACTGATTAATATTCATCTTCCTAACTGCACATATTCTTGCTTCTAAAACGTTCCTGAGTCATACTCTTGATCTAGGCAAGAACTGTATCTCAAATACGCATCAAACCAGAATTCTGAATAAAACATTTCATTCTTTTATAGCAGGACTACAGACTACCATGTGTTCACTTAGTACTGACCACCGTATTAATAAATATTTATACGTCAGAAATAATGGCTGTTAATACTGATTTGTTACCCCTTGCATTTTGACAAACTATTACCCATTGCTAACAGTGAATGAAGGCCATGTAACCACGCAAAAAGTTAAGCAGAATCTTAGTCATTTTGTTCAGACTGATGATCTCATCCACCTGCCCACTACTGAATCTACGCTGTGTGGGCGAGTGTTAAACAAAACTCCAATACTTCTGCAGAAACAGATGGCTTGTGAGTTGAAAAAATTCTGATTAAACTAATTAGAACATTATCCCCCACACAGTTACCACTAACTAGATAGTTTACAAGTTAGGTACCTTCTAACTGACTGTCCTCCAACATTACTATGGAGGGGCTGTACAGGGCGTCTGTGCACAGGCACTTGCAGCGGGGCCTCTGTGAGGAGAGGCAGGGG